AATAATAAAGTTGGAAGGGACCTTGGAGGTCATCTAGTCCAACCCCCTGCTCAGGCAGGAAACCCTATACCATTTCAGACAAATGGCTGTCCAGTCTCTTCTTAAAAACTTCCAGTGTTGGAGCATTCACTGCTTCTGGAGGCAGGTTGTTCCACTGGTTAATTGTTCTAACTGTCAGGAAGTTTCTCCTTAGTTCTAGATTGCTTCTCTCCTTGATTAGTTTCCATCCGTTGCTTCTTGTCCTGCCTTCAGGCGCTTTGGAGAATAGCTTGACTCCCTCTTCTTTGTGGCAGCCCCTGAGATATTGGAACACGGCTATCATGTCCCCCCTCGTCCTTCTCTTCATCAAACTAGACATACCCAATTCCAGCAGCCTTTCCTTATATGCTTTAGCCTCCAGTCCGCTAATCGTCTTTGTTGCTCTTCTCTGTACTCTTTCTAGAGTCTCAACATCTTTTTTACATCGTGGTGACCAAAACTGGATGCAGTATTCCAAGTGTGGCCTTACCAAGGCATTGTAAAGTGGTATTAATACTTCACGTGATCTTGATTCTATCCCTCTGTTAATGCAACCTAGCACTGTGCATCTACCATAAGCAGTATTATAGCAAAACCATAATGCACAGCAATTTAGTAGCACCTACCCCCAACGACGCAAATTCAGAACAACGTTCTTCCTGCCCATCAAAATGAATGAATAACTTGCTGCAGCTGTTCTTAGAAATGAATGGAATGTTAAGGATTTCTTCCTCACCAATAGAAACTTGGATAACCATTATCTATCTAAATGTAATTGCCTTTGAATCGTTGGCGTCACAATCAGGCAGCTTGAACAAACACGGCTGTATTTAAAATTCAGAATAATTTACCTATTTATATAGCAAGCATTCTTAAATAAATAATACTGTACTTATGTTATTCCTGCCTCTCAATTCAAACCTTGCCAAGCTTATTTTTTTATTTACTAATTTATTTGTATGCTGCCTTTATTATTTTAATAAATAATTCAAGACGAAGAACATTACAGAATACTCCTTCTTCCTCCTATTTTCCCCTTGTATTTTCCCTACAACAACAACAACCCTGTGAGGTAGGTTGGCTAAGGCAGGACATGAATTCACAGTCTTCTGCTTTCTATCCTGGTGCCTTAACTACTTGCCCAGGGGTAGGCAACCTTGGCTCTTTTATGACTCGTGGACTTCAACTCCCAGAATTCCTGAGCCAGCATGGCTCAGCTTAAAAACTCTCCCTTTCCCCTCAGCATGGCTGGCTCAGGAATTCTGGGAGTTGAAGTCCACGAGTCACAAAAGAGCCAAGGTTGCCTACCCCTGTACTAGACCAAACCTATGGGAGAAAGAGATCTTAAAAACCTACAGAATAACAGAATTGGAAGGTCTTCTAATCCAACTCACCCATGCAGGTGACCCTGTACTAGGGGTCTTTAAACTTGGCCCTTTTATGACTTGTGGACTTGTGCACTCAGGCATGCTGGCTGAGGAATTCTGGGAGTGGAAGTCCACAAGTCATAAAAGGGCCAAGTTTGAAGACCCCTGCCCTATACCATTCCAGAAAAACGGCTGTCCATTCTCTTCCTAAAAACCTCCAGTGTTGGAGCACCCGCAACCTTTGAAGGCAAGCCGTTCCACTGATTAATTGTTCTATTATGAGATTTCTCCTTAGTTCTAGATTGGATCTCTCTTTCATAGGTTTTCACCCGTTACTTCTTGTCTTGCCCTCAGGTGCTTTGGAGAATAGATTGACTCCCTCTTCTCTCTGAGAGCCTCTCAAATATTGGAAGACTGCTATCATGTCCTTCTCATCATCAGAGAGACTTTATCAACATCATCAGCAAGAATCTGACCATAACCAAGTGGTTTAGATAAGTAGAATATGGAGCCCATCGGCCCCATCCTGATTATAGCTTGGAATAAAAATGCTTTATTTTTTAAATGCATAAAAAAGCAAAATTGCCTTCTAGTCCAGTTCAAACCCTGACAACCCATATGGATGCATCCATGAAGTTTTCTTGGTTTATGTTTGTCTTATTGGGAATTTTTTTTTTTTCAACTTCCCAATCTCGTTTACAGTCCTGCATCGCCTCCACCCCATCTGTTCTATCCACATACCACTCAAGGCTGCATGACTTTTCAGATCAACCAAGGTCATTTAACCGGCCTTAAAACACAAGTAAATAAGTCTGAGATTAAACAAACAAACAAAAATACACATTTTTCTCCCCCATGGGGAGAAGAAATAACTAAGAGAGGGAGATGATAACAGACTGTTCTGCCTTGTCAGGTTGAATTTAATTTCCTTCTCTAACCTTGTCAAAAATAACTGCCCTGTTCACTCTGAAGGAGGTAAGCATATTTATTTTGGATTTTAATCATAAACTAGGCTTCTCAGCTCAGTGCCTCCAGACACACCATGCTTGTTAGGTCGCAAATTCTCAATATGCTCAAAAACTGTAGTCCATCTAAAAGGTGTCAGGCTGCAGAAAGCTCCCACAAAACATCACACAACGGTCTCAAGAGATTCACAAGACAAGCCACGCATTGGCATATTGTCACTCATCAGGTAGCAGGTGCTATGGCACAATACCATGTGCTGGAGTGAGATTCTGAACACTGAGAAGTGCTTTTTAAATGACCCAAACCTCAAGATAGTTGAGCATTCTTGCAAGGTTTGGTGGCCTTCTGATACTTTATATAATTATGGGATTCCATAAATGCCTTCTGATACTTTATATAATTTTGGGATTCCATAAATGCCATCCAAGGGATATTGTAAGTGCCACACTATTGCTAAATTGCCAGTTCCTGACATAAGCCCATCCTGTAGATGAGAACAAAACATATTGCTTTCCATACCTCTGTTGACAATCTTTTCATCTCTTGCTTCCTCTGCTGTTCCGCCACGTTGGCCACAGACTCGGCTAACTGGTTGAGTTCTTGCTCATTTGGGGCTCCCATGAAGCTCAGCAAGGGAGGCTCCCAGCCATTCCTGAATCGTGGCATGTAGGGTGGGATGAAGTGGTCCTTGGGCCACTCAGCTCTGCATTTAAGACAAAGGTAACACCATAATTTAAAACCTTTACACTAGCGGGGATAAAGTGACAGATTACAAAACAGCAAACCACACACATTACATTATACAAAGTATTGTTCTTTTTTCATGATGACAACCTTCCCTTACCGGATGCTCTCTAAATGTGTTGGACTACAATCCCTGTCACTTCCAGCCATTAGTGGTCATGTTGGTTGGGTGTGGAGGGAGCATTAACCCAAAAGATCAGGAGAGCATCAAGCTGGAGAAAGCAACTCCACTCATCCTATTTCCTACAGAGGTCTTGGATCAAGAGGTAAGGGGATTCTGAATTCAAGCTCTCTCACATACACAAAGGACTGGAGACATGAATTCCAGCCTATCTGAAGCTCCAAATAGTATTTTGGAAGCAAGCAAGAGAACACTAAGGAGACTGGCTCCAATTTCTTGTTACAAATGTAACAGGTAGTCCTCGACTTACAATCTTTCATTTAGTGACCATTTGACGTTACAACGGCACTGAAAAAAATGACTTATGGCTGTTTTTGACACTTATGACCATTGCAGCAGCCCCATGGTCATGTGATCAAAATTCAGCCATTTGGTAACTAATTCATATTTATGGTGGTAGCTGTGTCCCAGGGTCATGTGATCACTTTTTGTGATCTTCTGACAAGCAAAGTCAATGGAGAAGCCAGATTATACACACACACACACACACACAAACACACACACACACACACACACACACACGATATGGAAAGAAATGTAGCAAGGACACCTCTGAGACTGAAGTCTTCCAATATTACAAACTCTATGCACCTCTGCTGTACTACATCATTAGATATTTTGGAATGAAATGGAGCTTGAATGCATTGGAGCAAAAAATACAGGATGAGTTGAGAATGTATGCTGATATTCGTTCTCAATTTATGGGAAAAGAAAATGTGTACAGCCAAATGAAAAATGTGGTAATACTTCCACCTTTCTTATACTCATGAGATGAGATGTCAACAGCTTCCAACTAGACAATTATTTCAGGAATCAGTGAAAAATATTCCACTGAAATCAACCAGCTCTTGCTACTTGAGGTTGGGCATTAGAAAGCCAGATTTTCTTTCCATTATCAGAAGCCCTGCATAAAAATGCCACGGCATTAGGAAAAGCCAAAATTAATTACATGCCGGCCTGGCTTCTGTTCATCTACAAGCATGGATGGGAAGACATTTTTAAGAGGTGTAGTCATATTTGATGGCAACAGGGGAGATGCCCTCTAGCCTTTAAGTTCATTCGAACTAATACAATTTCTTCAATAAAACTTTCATCCTCTCCTTATTCAAGGTAGTATGAAACTTGCCTGAGTGAACTTAGAAGTCAACACTGGGAACTAAACACACTCTGAAATTCTTCTCATCAGATTGAAATGGTAGCAACCCCTGGGAGAAGCACATCTCATATCACCCTCATGCAGGAATATATTGTTACCAGGTATGTCACAACTTAGGACAACAAAGAGAAAGGACGGAGAGATCCTCTCTGCCCTAAAGTTCATTTCTGATCCCTTTTTTCTCACCATTTCAAAATCAATAAGTCAAAAGGAACTAAGAGGAACTACTTTGTGGGACAAGGAAAGATCTGGAGAGGAGATATCGTCTTTGCTTTTAGAATGGTCCCCTTAAAAGGAACTTTCAATCTGAAGGTCTCAAAACACTGAGAAATCTCAATGCTATTCAGATTCTCCCCTCAACAACCCACAGCTGTGTGCGGATCCTTCAGCAAGGCCTTCCCCAACAGACAGGTTGGGACTGCAACTCTCCAAATTCCAAATGCCACACTACCTGGAATTCTGGAACATTCCAGATCAATATATCTGGAGAATAGAGGTTGGGGCAGTTTACCTATCCTCCCCCAATGAGGATTTCTACAGGATCTCTCTGTACTATGGACAGTATTCTGGGCAGTATTACATGCCTTTTTCTCTCGGGGGATGCAGCATCCCCATGGTCACATGATCAAAATTCAGATGCTTCACAACTGTTTCATATTTATGACGGTTTCAGGGTCCCAGGGTCATGTGGATCCCCTTTTGCAACCTTTTGACAAGCCACCTCAGTGGGGAAGCCAGATTCACTTAACCACGGTGTTACTAACTTAACATCTACAGGGATTCACGTAACAACTGCGGCAAGAAAGGTCGTAAAATGGGGCAAAATTCACTTAACAAATGTCTCACTTAGCAATAGACATTTTGGGCTGAATTGTGCTCATAAATCGAGGACTATCTTAGTGCAGGAACAGCCTGCTTGGTGCATGAATTAAGAATTGTGGCGGAAATTCCTTCTCATGTCATGCTTTTAGATATCCTCTTATTCTTTTTCCTCTACAGAAAACTTCATACATTTTCGCCTGTGTTTCTTGTAATCATCAGTGTCAAGAATGGATCTATTTACAACACCCTCAATCATTTCAAAATTTATTAAGGGCTATAATTGTGCATGGATAATTATCTCTGTATGGGCGTGTTTTAATGCAGGCTGACAATCATGTAATTAGGATCCCTGATTTGTGTCACTTTTCAGCCAACCGGATTCACTCTTCATTATAGAAGCGTTCATCATCAAAGCTGCTCAAAATGGCTATTGATTTGTAGGATCAATTAACCAATAATGGCAAAGTATAAGCAGGCTCTTCCTACTGAGAGGCCTTGCCAAGAGTCTTCTGAATTCTTGCATCGGGGGAAAAAAACAAGGAAACTGAAACATTAATAACTGAATACAAAAATCCAAGAGTATAAAAATTTTCTTGAGCTTATACAGGATGTGCACATTGGTGGAAATAAACCAACATGGAAGGTACGCCCATGAAGTTTAACACAGTTCAAATATAAAAACACTCAACTCAAATGTTACCTGGCTTTGGTCCACGCGTTGCCTAGGGATACCCAGAGTTGTCCTTCCTCACTTGTGACAATGCAGCGTAAGAACTCAATGGTGTCTTTTGTCAAAAGAGGGCTGAGCACTGTGCTAGCAAGCTCGGGGCCTCCTGTTGTTTGTACCACCTATGAGAGCCAATAAATGCACACTGAGATAACACGGTCGCTTGCAGAATAGAGCTGGTAGTGGTATGCAGTGAGAATCAATGCCCTGTTATTTAGCATAGGCCAGGGGTAGGCAACCTTGGCTCTTTTATGACTCATGGACTTCAACTCCCAGAATTCCTGAGCCAGCCATGCTGAGGGGAAAGGGAGAGGTTTCCAAGCTGAGCCATGCTGGCTCAGGAATTCTGGGAGTTGAAGTCCACGAGTCATAAAAGAGCCAAGGTTGCCTACCCCTGGCATAGGCAATGGGGAAGGATTAATACCATTTCTGGTTCCTTTTAAAATCTATGTACATGTAGATTATATAGCCAGGGTGGCGCAGTGGTTAGAATGTAGTACTGCAGTCTGACTCTACATTCCACTGCCAGCAGTTCGATCCTGACCGGCTCAAGGTTGACTCAGCCTTCCATCCTTCTGAGTTCAGTAAAATGAGGACCCAAATTGTTGGGGGCAATTTACAGCCCTTAGAGAGGGCTGGGAAAGTACTATGAAGCGGTATATAAGTCTAAGAGCTATGGCTAAGTGTTACTGAAGTTCTTATTTTTGTACATTTTAAAAAGAGACAAGATCCTTTGCCACGTATACAGGTAACCCTCCATTTATGATCGGTCATTTAACGACCATTTGAAATTATGACAAACTCAAAAAATGTTACTTACAATCTGTCCTCGAAGTTACAACTGCCGCACTGCCCCCTGTAGTCATGTGATCACATTTTACACTTTTTGGCGGTAAAAATCACCTATTGGATAAGCTGGATTCGGACTTACAGTCATGTGATTTGCTTAATGACCAAAATGACTTGCTTAACAACCATCATAACAATGGACATAAAGTTGACTCTGATCACTTGATGACTTGACTTATCACAATGACTTATGACCGAAATTCCAGGCTTATGCAATATTCTGATTGATGACCAAAATTGTAAAACTCAAGGACTATTTGTGCTCTGTAGATTAAACATGCATTTTGAGCTTTGGAATCTAGTCTAACTCCTTCTTGATTGACTACTGTGGGCCAAATAAAATAATTGGAATGGATAAAATTGATTAAAATAACAGCAAGGTTTTTAGAGCAGATGGTGCTTTTTATTTCAATATGAAGTGGAGTAAGCCAGCTTTAAGGAAGCTAATAAAAAGGAAGCATTTTATTTCTATGATACACACCCTCTGCTTTCAACACTGTGAATTCATCATGGATTAAGTTTTGATGCACTCAGAAAAATAAACTGAGCCCCTAGATATTAAATAATATTTCAGACTTACCATATTTAGAGGAGTAAACAGAAAATGAATCAGTTCAGGTGCACTGGGATTCTGGATGTGTGACTTTAATTTTGCCTGTAAAAGGTAAAATGGAGAGTATGGAAGAGAGCTTATGAGAATACAGTTCAGCAACTCAAAATGGCATTGAAATATCTCAAACACAGTTCAGGCCATAACCCAGTTATTAATAAAAGATAATTGCATTTATATAATGATAAGTCAGCTAAAATCCCAAAAGTTTAAACAACATTTTAAATTTTGTTATAAATAAATAAATGAGAGAGATGATAGATAGATAGATAGATAGATAGATAGATAGATAGATATGACTAATCCTCTAATCAATCTAATCAAACAATTTCTTAAACTAAATAAGGATGCATTTAAGCCATAGTTTTCTGAACAAACCAAAGCCAATCTTTTAAATGAGCAATGAATGCAGTCATGTCCTGTTCATTGCTGATGTTTTTTTCCCCTCCCTTTATTCTACATTATCCACAAAAAAGATGAGTAGATAAAAATAACTAGATGTAAGCCACAAATAAATAAGAATTCTTGACTTATATATGAAGAAATGAATGGCTTGTGCAAAGAAACATTCAGAAACTAACAAAGGCCATTTGGGGGTCATATCATCGTGATGCAATAAGTACGTTTTAGGGTCAATTTCTTAATAAACATTATTTAAAGATTTATTTATTAAATTCAAGACTTTATTATAAAAATTTTAAAGATTTTTCAAGAGTTAGTCCTGGTGTCTCCCTTAGCGTTCCAGGTTTTTTGGTATCCATCCTGCAAATTCTAAATTAGGCATTGACACAAAGATTAGAAGCAGCAGATGTCTAAGATGATGCAATCATTGTGACATTACTAAAATAGTCTCCTTTCTAACTATTTCTATGCTCTAGAACAGGGGTCTTCAAGCTTGGCCCTTTTATGACTTGTGGACTTCAATTCCCAGAATTCCTCAGCCAGGCATGCTGGCTGAGGAATTCTGGGAGTTGAAGTTCACAAGTCATAAAAGGGCCAAGCTTGAAGACCCCAGCTCTAGAATCAATAACATAGTTATTCAATCAATAATCATAGTTTACATGCTATGATCCGTGTATCAACCTACCCACCCCCAAATGGAGTTATTGAAAGCTTGCAGAAAAAGGAAGAAGAGAGCGAAAGTAGGAATATATAAACACATTCCTGATATACTGTCTGAAGATTGTCCTTAGCATCCTAGAAAGATTCTTGTGTTTGTAGCTTGAAAAAAACTCCAGCAAAATCATTACAGTCCTGGAAGTTGCCATACTTTAGCTGAGTGTGATGGGAAAAAAACTTTTAACATAACATAAAGTGAGCTATAATGCCACTATTTGATCACTCTCTTAGTTCATTTCCCTTTTGTTCTAAAACAAACAATTCAGAACAGTTTGTACAACTGCTATGTGTATTTAGTTAAGGAAATCTAAGTTGCAATTTACAGGAAAGCTGGTGAAATTCACAGTAGCAGATTGTAACAACAGATTTTAAAAAACAGACTATTGATGCCAAGCTTCAACAAAAACCTGGAATTGCTTGGAGTAGCCAGCTCAGACTCACTTACCAAAAGGTTGAAACCATGCTTAAATTTTTGCAAACAGTCCACAAATTCATCTGCAGATGGAGGTTTTGCACGGAGAGTTAAGACCCCCTCTGGTGAAAAATAGAACAGGGAAACCAAAATCACTTAGACGAGTACCTGTAGAAATATTTTCATCACTGGCAAAATAGGAGGATCAGATTCTACACTGAATGTGATGTATAAATGGGCTGTATAGCTTCAAGGATCATTTTGAATGCCCTCCATAAATTATAGAAGCAAGGGGGCCTAGCTCAGTCCTTTGGCTAATGGATGAAAGTGTTATCAGCAAGAAACTTTTAAAAGTTGGTGGCCTCTTCTTCATGTAAATTTATTCTCCTGCAATTCACTCTATAGAATGCTAATAACCAATCTGCCCCCAAAGTGTTATGCTCTAGGTGCATTGAAACTACATCTCCCAATTCCCATGACTGTCATATTCCCCAGTCTCAACACATATCCACTCTTGAAGACATAAGGAGAGAGGGAGAGGGGGGGGAGGGGGGAGAGAGAAGATCAGCCCAAGTCAATCCAACAAAGGATGAGGGTCTTTTCATTGAAGATTATGGATGTTATCCATTACAGTGTTTCTCAGCCTTGGCAATTTTAACATGTACTTCAGTTCCCAGAACTCTTCATGTACTTCAGCTCCCAGAATTCCTCAATCAGCATGCTGGGCTGGAGATTCTGGGAGTTGAAGTCTACATAGCTTAAAGTTACTGGGGTTGAGAAACACTGATCTACCACACGGGACTAGTGTGGGATGATAGATAAGTAATTTTCCACTTTGGTTTATGGCTAAAAGTGAATGACTGGCAGTTAGCACCTTTGCATCAATCTCCTCCATCCTGTACTTTTGCAATAGTAATAACAATAGCATTTAGACTTATATACTGCCTCATAGTGATTTACAGCCCTCTCTAAGTGGTTTACAGAGTCAGCCTCTTGCCCCCAACAATCTGGGTCCTCATTTTACTGACCTCAGAAGGATGGAAGGTTGCGTCAACCTTGAGCCCTGTTAGGATCGAACTCCAGGCTGTAGGCAGAGTTTACCTGCAATACTGCATTCTAGCCACTACACCACCAGGGCTCCCACACCAGTGGTTCCTTAACCACAATACCACACTGGCTGTCTCACACACACACATGGGGGAAAATGCCTAATACATCAAGATGCAAATTATTTTGTTCTGAATTTTTTTTGCAAATCCCACTTCAAGAGCAGGAAACACAAGCATGTGATGGGCTGTTTCAAACATTTTTGAAAATGTAGAGTTTGAAAGAGATAATAATCTCTGTTCCCGGGCTGAAAAAAAATACTTCCAAAACACTTGAAAGAGCCCATTTTGCACTCAAAATGGAACATTTCACAAGATTTCATACTCCAAACTAACACACCCTTAATCCAGACAAAAGAATTAATTGACTCAAGACGCCTGCCTTACTGAAATTCCATTTTTTTAAATGTTGATTCATACTCTTTTCTTTGTTCTACTGAGCATGTATGCAAACGAGAAAAGATCATCTGCCTGTTCTTTTCAACATTAGCCAAACATTAAAACATAAATTTAGCCCAAAACATGACTGGAGTGTAACAAAGAGATAATGACTGAATGGTAAAGTCTGTTGAGCTCTGTCCAATGCAACTACTTATTTAACTGAATAGAGGAACTCTTAACAGTTCAGCGAGTGAAATGTGATCAGAAAACTACTGAAAAAAAGAAATGGTTCTGATTCTTACCACCTGGTCCTTTCTTCTTATTTTTCTTGCTTTTCTTCCGCTTTGAAAGTTCTGAAAAAGCTTCTGCTGCTTTTTGAAGCTTGGTGACAAAATATTCAATGTCATCCAGAATATGATTCAGGATTTGCTAAAGGAAATAGACAGTGGGTGTCATTTATGAATGTAAGGAACGTCACCCAAAAATGCTGTATTGTTAGTTACGAAGAATGGGAATCGCTGCAGAGAACCTGTGCATTTATCTACAAAAAGTGACGCTTTGTAAAATGAATAGGCTGATATTACCATATCACTTGGGTCTATGCTTCCCCCTTTGTTCTCAAGCTAGCATCAGTAAAGGCTCTGTGCTCGGTAAAGATTGGAGCACAATTATTTGAGTAAGGTCTTCCCACACAAGATTTTGGCTTAACTTTGTTCTTTCTGGAGTGCTAGGGAAACCTTTTTTTAGCCTTATCTTATAGCAAGCAATTATGAACTTATAAAACTATTTCTGCTCTAGTTCCTTCCCTCCCCTCCCCCACGATTATGAAATGAGAGTCTGGATCCATTTAAAGTATTTTTAGCTCTTAGTACAAAGAGATGTTGAGGGCCAGTTCCAAGGTACATCCAAATATAGTCTTAAAGTTACTACTCCGCCTTTTTTCATTTGATCCTGAATTAAGTTTCTATAGGCTCCAAATAGCCTTAGTCTATCAATCTCCTTTTCTGATTCATGACCCTTAGTAGGATAAAGGTCAGAGGAGGAGAGAGGATGTGTAGCCCTCCAGATATTGTTAAAATACAACGGTCAACTAGGCTAAAACTGTTGGGGGGTGGTTTGGCAAGCCCTTGATGGACACTCTTCCTTATTCCTAAATCCAGAAGGTCCTAATTGGCTGAGCAGGCTTATGTTCATCTTTAGATCATCCAGGAAGCACAATGTGCATTATCTTGAATGTTATTTTTTAATAGCTAAGGAAGTTCTTATGAGAATAAAATGGAAGGTGAAGAGGAGTTGGTGGGGAAAATATTCCCTGTAATCCTAACAAAATGGTCAGTAACAACAATTAACTTCTTCAAGAATAATATTAGTAAATAATACTATTAATGAGCAAAGATAGTACCAATAGCAATAGGTATAATCCCAGAACAACTTGAATACCATCAACACTGATAGAAAGCATCATTAATCAATTGCAAAAGACACGTTTTACTTGGAGCAACTTACATCCTGTGATGGCCCCTTTAATAACAAACATCTGCCTATCCCAGGTCCTTGGGAAGGACTCAATAGGTGGATAAAAATGCCAAATGCAGTCTAAACATCTGGCTGACTTTGCAACCAGCCAACCATAATAATAATAAGGCATCAGGCGAGGATCTGGGAGATCATGAGTTCTATTCCTGCCTTAGACACAAAGCGAGCTAGGTGACCTTGGGCCAGGCACTTGGGAAGGAGGATATGGCAAACCACTTCTGAAATCCTGCTGAGAAAACTGCAGGAACTTGTCCAGGATTCAAAAACTGACTTGAAAGCACAAAACAAAGGAAACCAAAAAACCCACAAATAAATTGTACCATGCTGCTATTTAAGGCAGTAAGCTTTCAATTGTTGTTGCTGTGGAAACCCTATGGATCTTTGAATATTTATCAGGAAGTTCTTTGAAGTAAATAATCAGTAATGATTGGCCAATTTCCCCCACCACCAGCACCTATACCGATCTTTTTCTGAAATCCACATCTGCAAAAGGGAATTGTTATAAATCACACTACACTACACTTGATCTTTGCCAAAAGGCCGAGAAGCGATTTATAAATCATAGATTGCATTCCCAATTCATGTGGCAGCACCCTAAGTATACAAAGGTTCCCAATTCATCCTAAGTACACAAAAAAGAACATGATTCCAGGATTATCAGCAACATGCAAAGTGTCAACGCTGCTAACATCGGATGTTCTTGGTTTGACAACAGATGAAAATGTAGCCATCTTTTCTCTTTTGCTTTTATAGTTAGTTGATGCTGGGAGGGGGGATGTGGATGAGAGTCCAGCTAGTCATAACAATAATAACTCAGCCATGGGAACCCAAGGTTATTGCGCCCAGAGTTGATAAAGATTTGGTGGGCTGGAGAGCTGGGGAGAAAGCTCGAGCTTCAAGCTAATTGGGGAATGTGATTTATGACTGTAAATTGGAGGAGGGAATTGTGCTTTGCTACTTTGTGCCCAGGGGAGGGGAATTCAGTTTTTGGCTTCAACTATGTAGTGCCGATACTTTGTTTCTCGAATAAAAGATTCTTTAAGTAAAACAATGCCTCAAAGTTCTTTTGAAGAGTTTCATCTGTCGGAAGCATGACAAAAGACTTCCAGGGCAGATGCTGGGGAAGATCCTTGTGATAAGCTCTGATATGAAAACCAAGGCAGAACATACAGTAGCTATCTCAGTCTTAAAGAACCTTTGCGAGTTCACATTTTTTTCAATATGCTCTCATAATTGTTTTCGTGCTACAAACTTCAAGACTACTTCCCCTTATGTTAGCCTAAATAGCGTCAGATGTTATATTAGCTACTTGTCCAGTGGGAAGCACTACACTACACCAACCTATTGTGTGAAGTGGAACTCTTCAGACATAGATGTTCTCCTTAGATCAGTGTCTCAACCTCAGCAATTTTAAGATGTGTGGACTTCAACTCCCAGAATTCTCCAGCCAGCATGCTGGCTAAGGAATTCTGGGACTTGAAGTCCACAAATCGTAAAATTGTTGAGGTTGAGAAACACTGCCTTAGATGCTCTATGTCCAACCTTTTAGTGGGAGTTGAACCCTCAGGTGTTGCACTTGTTGACTATGCAGGCATTCTGTGGTCATGTGGTGCCTCCTACTGGTCAGTAGTTAATATAGCATCTTGGTCTTTCCACTTCTAATATCCTCTATACCAGGGGTTCCCCACCTCCAGTCCGTGGACCAGCACCGATCCATGGGATGCCAGAAACCAGTCCGCACAAACAAGAGAAACCCTATCTGTGGGATGTAGGCAGCATGTGGGCAGCCCCCTCTGGTCCATGGCAAAACCTCTCTCCATGGAACCGGTCCCTTGTGCCCAAAAGGTTGGGGGCCTCTGCTCTACACATCCTTGCCAGGCTTATAATCCTCCACCTCACTCTTCCCTACCTCTACTAACACCCTCCAGGCAGCCATTTCTTAGTTCTGAGAGGGTGCCAGACAACCACCTTGCAGTTGCTAGGCAACTGAGGGATGTATTTCTCATCTGAATCCCAGGGTTGCTTCACACTTTATGAAGAAATTATGGCAGGGGCAGACAGCCTAGTAAACATAAAACATGAAAAGCAGACACACTTTCCCAAACTTAACCAGAAATTATGCAAATCAAGATTCCACGCCTTCTTTTCTTTACACCCTTGACTGCTGGAAAAACTCAGTTTTAATCAAAATCAACACAAATAACAATATTGCCTGCTGTTGGACTTTTCTTGCAATCTGGGAAGAAATCACTTGCCTCCCATTGCTGGCCAGAGCTATAATGAAATGGAATCAGAGTATAAAAACCTCACGGGGGCAATCAAAGGCCAGCAGGAGATGCTGGAACTGACTGAGAAAAAATATATAAAAGTCTCTTAAATAAGGCATGTTGCTCATTAGGGAAGAGGCAGGGAAGCACCCAGGACCAGTAAATGCTGAGCAGGAGCCAGCATGAAGAAAAGGAAGAAGTGGCAGGTGATTATTAAAACTCCTCTCCATAACTGAAGTATTCGGCAGATGGGATTCCGGAATAAATGAGTGTAGTTGATGGATCTGGCCTGACGTGGTCCCTTAGGAAAGAAATACTCTCAACTCCATTAGTAGCAAAAAGATTACTTTTACTACAGATCACTAAAAGCCAAATGGTTGCAGTAGAGCAAAGCCAGAACTAAGAGTTTGCGCACAAAGATTCCTTAGTTAACTTTCCCTTTTCCGTTCCACCCCACTCCTCTATCTCTCTATTGTCCAGTCATATTAGAATAAGATGTTTTGGTAACTGTCCCTGCAATGGTTGGATAGATGGAGAGGTGTTAATTTCATTCCCAGGTTCTTGGTCTCGGGATGTCAAGATTCCTTTTGGTTTTCCTCATCTTCCCAGAGATCCTCCCCCCATAACTTATGACAGACTGGCATCTAGTGAAACATAGTTGTGAGCGAAGGATGGCAGCTCTGACATTCCGTCTTCCCACCGCTCCCTCCTCCCCATAGCTTACGGCAGACTGGCATCTAGCAAAACATAGTAGCCAGCAAAGGATGGCAGCTCTGACATTAGTCATCATCAAATGTTTTCCTATTTCACCGCCCTGAAATTTATTATTGGGAGAAAAAATCGTGAGTGGAACTTAATGATAATTATCAACTGCTCCACCAAGTTTGAGGAACATCAAAACCTCTCGCAAACAATCCCTTTGGCCACTTACAACATCTCGGTCAATCCTGGCTGCCATCATTTCAGCTGTTTCTTCATGCTCTTGGTATTGCTTTGGTTTCTCACCTAAAGAAACAAGGAGATGAACAGAAGCTTCCTCAGGGGAGAGACACAGTGGCTGTGATTAGACCACCAATTTGAAAAATGTAATGTTCATATTTGCACAACATGTTAAGATTGATTTTCCTATGAATGAAACAAGAAAGTCTGTTGCATTCAACAGCCAACAAATAATGCATGATTTTGAAGGTATTTTTTTCCCCAACTGTGTTGCGATTTGCAGCTTCTTCCCACTCAATAGGTCATTGTGGGTTTGGGTATCATGGAAGTTTTAGTCCTTGCATTTTTCAAGGCCATCGCTTTGATGAAATCTTGGCCACCAATGCCAAGTGTGAAAAATGTAATGACTGTGGCTTAGGATTTTGTGAGAACCCAGGTGGTTGGATAAACTTAACATTCAATCTATGGTGAGAATTGGAAACCCAGTAACGAATGAAACAGTGTGCCTGAATCCAGCCTATGAAACCTGAAACGAAACATCAACATTTACATATTTGGAAAATGCAACACAGTTGCCTGGAATTGGAAAAAGAGAGCAGGGTCACACCACCCAGAATATATACCCCTTATTTAGAGGACTATCACGATAGAGGCCCTTGGTCCTATTATACCTCCCAGGGAATCTCAGATATTGGAGGGATACAGGAACCATTGTACATAAGGACCTTGTAGTCATCTTGAAAAAAATAATAACAACCTATTGTCAATTCAAAATATGTACTTAGCTTGCTAAGGCTACAAACACACTGTCTTGCTAATATTCTTGTAAATCCAAACATTTCTATCTTTTAAACATGAATTGGAATGTTGTTGTTAGTTGCGAAGTTGTGTCCGACCCATCGCAACCCCATGGACAACGTTCCTCCAGGCCTTCCTGTCCTCTACCATCTTCTGGAGTCCATTTAAGCTCACGCCTACTGCTTCAGTGACTCCAGCCAGCCACCTCATTCTCTGCCGTCCCCTTCTTCTATTGCCCTCAATCTTTCCCAGCATTAGGCTCTTCTTCAGTGAGTCCTTCCTTCTCATTAGGTGGCCAAAGTACTTGAGTTTCAACTTCAGGATCTGGCCTTCTAAAGAGCAGTCGGGGTTGATCTCCTCTAGGACTGACCAGTTTGATCGCCTTGCAGTCCAGGGGACTCGCAGAAGTCTTCTCCAGCACCAGAGTTCAAAGGCCTCAATTCTTTTGCATTCAGCCTTTGTTATGGTCCAACTTTCACAGCCATACATTGCAACTGGGAAAACCATGCTCCCATTATTTTGGCAGGGGTATCAAACTGCCGGCCCACGGGCCGGATGCATTATGTGGAAGCCGCACCCACCCCATTGCTGGCAATGGCAAAACTGTCCCGATACGTTGCATTACATCACGTAATGTCACGAGTTGGACATGTCTGCTTTATGGAGTGACCTCCCAGACGTGGGTCAAAATATTTTTTTAAAAAAGTAAACGAAAACAATTGTTGAAACATAAGCTAAATGAGAGTAGAATACCTTCAATTTATTCTGCCAGGACATTTACTGTAGGATAATGAGTCATATTGCCCTAAGGCAAGGCTCAATAATGTCCAGAGCAGAACACCCAGAGTCTTTGAATCACATCTCAAAGTTTCAGCAACACTCACAATCTCCCTGTTCAGCTGCCCACGCGGACCAAGCTGCCACCCGGCTCCGGACATCCACCTGTGTAACAGTCCCTGGGGGGACAGGAGCTGGCGCTCTGGGAGGTGGAGGAATGGCACTCTCTGATCTGGAAATCATCCTAAGACAGGAAAAAAAATAATGATATAACACTGAAACACCAAGAAAACACGATATCCTATTTCAGATGTTTGTTATTGGCCAGTTTGTATTGCCATGCCTCTCCGTCGGAAGCGGCATATAGCAACAGCGATCAATTGTAGTCTGTCCGTCTGTTCATCCACCCACCTTGTGGTGAAGCTGAGTTTACCAATAGCGATAGGATTTAGGCTTATATACCGCCCCATAGTGCTTTACAGCACTCTTTGGGTGGTTTGTAATGAAGAAGAATTATTTGCAAGTTGCCTGCAACAGTCTGGGTCTTCATTTTACTGACCTCGGAAGGATGGAAGGCTGAATCAACCTTGAGCCCTGTCAGGATCAAATTCCAGGCTGTGGGCAGAGTTTTCTGCAATACTACATTCTAACCACTGCGCCACCAAAGTTTATATGTTCCATAGCAGAACCATCTCAGCACAAAAATATAGAAACCGTTTAATTTGATTTGAATAGGTATCAAGGTTTGGTGTCAACTCTTTGTGATCACAAAAACAAACCTTCTCTGTGATGAGCACAACCAGCACAACGAAAATAAAGAAAAATGTTTACCTTTCTCTTGACTATTTTAACTATTGAACTTTTCCTACCTTCTTATGTTAGGGGTATTTGTTACTGAAGTTCAGATTTCAATAATACTGTAGATGAGACAAGCTTAAGTCCATCAAATTTCAACAATGGAATTTCAGTGGAGATTTGCTGGTTTTAAAGAGCTTGTGACTAAAACAGGGAAAGTGTCCACGTAGTATTTGAAAAAGTCCTAAGGAAGGACAACTCTGAAAATGGGCTGGTTTATCAACCCAAGTGGAAACCGTACCAGAATGTTCCAGTGCATTCTTAAGCGTTACAAGAGCCGCTAGGCTTCAGGCTATTTAGCAGATAACCATTTTCTCTTCTGCAATAACACAAGAATTGGAACAATGCATTTTACAATTATCCTATTTCACCTGATTGGTTAGTTTTTGGTTTTGTTTTATTTTGGCTAAGAGAGAGAGGGAGAGGGAGAGGGAGAGGGAGAGAGAGAGAGAGAGAGAGGGAGAAGGAGAGAGAGAGAGAGAGGAGAGGGAGAGAGAGAGAGAGAGAGAGAGAGAGAGAGAGAGAGAGAGAGAGAGAAGGAGAGGGATTTAATAATTTTGTAAACCTCTGGGTTCTCCCAAGTGTGTTTCTTAATTAGTTACTTTTGCACCGATCTAGAACATAATAAGAGCCATCAGGAATCAGATCAAAAATCTGTTCATTTTAGCATTCTATTTATGTGACCAATTAGGCATCGGTAGGAAGCCAACATGCAACACCCGAGCACAATATATTCTCCTATTCAAGTTCTTAGCAAGTAGGATGAAAGATCTATCTACAGCTTCTGTTACTGGAGGTTTTACATACACCCAGGATTGTGTGGAGCTCTGAAGAATTGCCAGCTTTTGATGAAACTTTGGATCAAACACTCTTCAAAGCTGCTTCAGCCCTGGCTGAGGTGCTCCCATGCTGAGTTCCTTCAGCAAATGCTCAGCAGCTTCAGTGTGCCCAACTGTGTGGCTTTGGCACACATTGCTACGTGCCGTCCCAAAGCTATGCGCAGATTTGGAAGCACTTCAGCCAATGCGTTGGGGAAAGGATTGAAGCCAGCCTTCTGCCACACCACTGATCTGAAATAATTGGAGGCCAGCTGAATTCCTTTATCGAGATAAATGGGCTGATCTCTTCGCTCCATCAGAGCGAATCATGTTCCCTTCACAGCCCGAATCGCTTCATCAAAGTGAATCTGTGTCACTCTGCGCAGGCAAATCTATGGCCCCCACGACCAGCTTCTTAATGCACGCCCTACCCAAACGCTAGGAAAGAGTTGCAAGACGAGGCTCCAGCTTTTACCTGAGGGTCTCAAGTCGCTGCTTTGGTTTCCCTCCTTTGCTATCGCTGATGGCACTTTCAATATCTTCATGGATAAAGTTAGCCTGAGCAGAAGCAGAAGCAATTAATTTGATGCACTGCTGAACGCTTGAGCAAGCCATCTATTGAATGCACCGAGGCTTTACAGGCAGAGCTGCCACCACGGTCGTATAGCAGCAAATTCCATAAAACTTTCAACTTTCCACCTGTATTTTCTTCACTCCATTCAGAAACAGTGGCCAATCAACTTCGTTAGATGATTTGGGAATTTAAATAACGTGAGATGCAGCAAAAAAAACCTTCCCTTTCACATTTTAGACAATTAAGAGATGGCTACCCTAAGCTTCTTTTTTTTTCTACCCAGGTTGAGTTATAGCCTTCAGTTAGACTCATATGGAGGGTAGCAGAGTGCAGTGATAAGAGCACACAGCATACAGCCAGGCACGATTCCAACTCAGAGGAACACATTCAAATGATGAAAAAAAAATCTCAGTCTAACAGTTTGGGGATCAAATCAGGGCAAAGTGTAATAAGCTAAATGGATACGTGTTACCAGTTAAGGCAAATTTCTGTGCTAGCTAATTGGAAGGCATGTGCTCGGTGTCTTACAATATGAGAATACAAAGAAGCCTTATTGGAGCTAGCCAACAGCCCCCTGCCCCATTATTCTACGTCATACAGTGTCCATGTTAATGCATTCACATAAAAAAATAACAAATGTCTCAGTTAACAACAGAAATTTTGGGCTCAATTGTGGTCATAAGTCGAGGGCTACAGTACCTTTGTTGTTATTGAAAGCCATCTTGAGTTTATATAGCAGCAAAAGAAGGGAAATGAATTTAATCATCACCACCATAATCTAAATTGGTAACCAAGCCAAGGTCATAGTAGCCAAATCCTGAGGCTATCAATTTCTTGCACAACATAAAAAAAATTACTTTATTTTCCCCGTCCCGAATCTCTCAGCATTTCATTTTGTTGGAGGGCTCCTAGTTCTAATATTATGACTGACCCCCCCCTCAACCAAAAAATCATGATTTTATATTTCTAGCGTGTCTCTCCTTTTCCCATTTTTGTTCTGAAGTAAAAAATTCCACTGCTAAAATCATTTTCCCTAATCATTTTGGTTGGCCCTCTTTTTATATACTCTTTTTATCACTGTAAAATCCGTTAGGGAGTGTAGCCTCACCACGGATTTATATAAAAGCATTAGAGGTGTTATTTTTAATTAACATTCTAATGATTCCATGCATGCATTTGCCTTCTTTACAACTGTGGCACACAAGATTGATACTTTTGCCAAGATGTCCATCCTGAGTTCCAGGTCCTTTACTGATCAGTCACATTACTGTGATTCATTATCTTTTACTTCCATTTCAAAATGGACTTCTGGGAAAAACTAATTGCTGACCAAGCTTTTAAGGAATCCCTCCACATTCATTTTGGACGGGTTCCACTGGCTTCTAAAGACCTACTTATTTAATATTTGTATTTCTTTACAGAGCTCAATTATACTCCAAATGCCACTCATTGCTCCAATTCATTTATGCACTAAGTTATCACAGGAGGATTATTATGCACAGAAATCCATAATATTTATGGATGCTGGCTGGCAGGAAGTCAAACACTATTCAGGATTATTGGCCACAAGCAACGACGTAGGCATTTGTATTTCCAAACACAGGCAGAATAACTATTCTTTTTTAAAAATAAGAGTTTGAATATTAAGTCTGCTTAGGAGCTGAAATTATTACATGGCCAACTAGATCTTTAGCATCTCAGCAAGCAAGTCATGCTCTAAAAGCCAAATCTATACATCATTATGCTTTGTCTGGAAAAGAAAACTGTTGAAATAGGTCTCCAATTGCAGCATCTTTATCAATTCCCCGCTATTGTTTAATCATCCTTTTATTTATGTGTCACTGAGCCACCGCAAGCATTTTCAGAACAGCTTTTCTCAAAACGTTCCTGAAGTGTCACACAACAAGCTGATTAAGTGTAACCTAATGTTATGAAAAGCTCATTAATTATACAAGGATGATCATAAATGCTGCTATCAGTTTCCTGCGAAAACGCAATTACTGTGCAAGATTGATGGTGATCATCTAATCCAGTGGTTCTCAACCTTTTTAATGCCGCGACCCCAACCGGTCATAAGTCGAGGACTAAACCGGTCGTAAGTCGAGGACTAAACCGGTTGTAAGTCGAGGACTAAACCGGTCGTAAGTCGAGGACTACCCAACCGGTTGTAAGTCGAGGACTTTCCCTGCCCGGGAGCGCCACGCATGCGTGGTTCCGCCCCCTGCGCCGGCCGAGGCGTAGCTGGCAAGAGGCAGAGACGGAGCAAGCCGACCACCAGCTGGCCCAGCCCAAGGGAGGTAAGGCACCCACCGGAAAAGGGGAAAAAAATGGCAGACAAAAAAAATGGCGGACAAAAAAAATGGCGGACAGCCTTGCTTGGCGACCCCCATGAAATGGTCGATCGACCCCAAATGGGGTCCCGACCCACATGTTGAGAACCACTGATCTAATCAAACAAACAAACAAACAAACGTATTTGCCACCCATCTTGTGATTCAGGAGACTCTTGAGAAGCTTCCCTCAGGATAAACGACACATAACCATGATTATAAATGTAAAAGTGAATTAAAATTACAAAAATGGCAACAAGTTAAAATAAATAAATAAATAAACCAGGGGTATAGAGGGGAGAGATGGGATGCCTCCTCAATTAGTGCCTCCTCCATTTGTGTATCAACCACCTCCAGACAGCAGCTTCTCCTTGAGGACCCCATGCCAGCTGGCACATGAACTGAAGAAGCTTCTTGGATGAGAAGTGAAACATTTTCAAAGGGAAAAAAACCCCATGGAAGTCCAGTTGCCTTTTGGAAAAAAGCACCTTTGGGACAACCCTGATCTGGATGATTGGGAACCTCCATAGATAGGTTTAAAAAACTTTCTCGAAGACTAATAGAGAAGGATGGATCTTACCTTCTGCAGTTAAGATGTTCTAGAGTGCAGGAACCCTCATGACCAAACTTCACATGCTAAAGACATACCTAACAGTTATTAAAGCAGGATGCTAAATAATGTCTATGCTTAGAACTCTGCTTAGAACTCTGCGAGGACAAACATACCAACAGAAGAGAATATCTGGAGCTCAGGGTTGAAATAAGGAGTCCTTGCTGATCTCTGAGGGTTGTTTTATTACCCAACTAGGTAGCATCATCAGTGCTTGGCATTGGTTAAAGTAGACCTAATGGGTCTTGTTCATACCCAAGGTATGAAAAAGATCTTGTTCAGTTCTTATATATGAATGGCATATTTAAGTTTTCCATCACCTACCACAGTGATGGCAAACCTTTTAGAGACTGAGTGCCCAAAAAAACCCCGCCCCCACCCGCCACTGCTCTGCCCCTGCCCTGCCTGCCCGCAGGGCCACCCACTGCCTCCACGGCCCGCCACAACAGATTGCCCAGGCGGCCCTGCAGTGCCATGGCAGCCACGCCCTCCGCCTGCACCCTGCAGCATCTCCGCACGACGGGGCGAGGGTGGAGTCTTGTCCTTGCTGCCCGGCTGCCATGTCCTTGGCTGCACTGCTCCACACGGGCTGCGCCCGAGGCGACTCTCCTCTGGGGGGGCTTCTGGTGAGGAGGGGCTGTGGAGGGAGGCAGGGCTCGGCCGACGTGCGTACCCACAGAGAAGGCTCTGAGTGCCGCCTCTGGCACACGTGCCATAGGTTCGCCACCACTGGCCTACCATCTTCCTAGTACACTGATGCTACAGCTCCTAGAATTTCCTGCTAATTCAGAATTTAAGATCCAGCAGGTCTAGAAGGTGACAGATTGAAGACAGCAGGGTAAGGTTATGGGACGAAATAAATAAATAAGCAAATAAAAAAAAACCTCATATATTCCAGCTCCATGTGTTCAACTGCAGTATTTTGCCCTACCTTCACTTCATCACACTCGAAAAGATGGAGATCTGCTTTGCTCTGGGATGGCTCTTTGCACACTAGAGCAAGGATGGAGTCGTAGTTGCATGAATTCATCACCGCCTGGCAATGCTGTATGGTGCTCAAGGGGAAGTTCTCAAGTTCATTCTGAAAGGCAAACGGGAGGAAGAAGCGGGAGATACAAAATTCTTCTACGTGGTTAAAATCCTTCTCTTGCCTCCCCAATATATTGGTACCCCCATATATACTATGGCTCAAGATGTGTCAACAGGGAAAAAAAGTTAGGAAAAATAATATAAAACTGGTGGCCAGAAGGATGGATTCTCCTGATTTCCCCCCTATTTCTCCTTGTTATTTCATGAAGGAGAATTAGCTTTTGAAAAATTTTCAAAGGATCGGAGGATGGAGAATTTCTTCTTCCCTGGTGAAATTGAAAGAAATTGTCCATAAATCCAATTTCCCTGCTCAGAAATTGGTTGGATAACCCTCATCCAGTGGTGGCGAACCTATGGCACGCATGCCAGAGGCGGCACTTGGAGCCCTCTCTGTGGACATGCGCAGTCACCACAGCCCCGCCTCTCCTGTGGCCCCTTCCTCACCAGCAGCCCCCCCGGAGAGTCACCCCCCCAAGTGCAGCCCACGCAGGGCAGTGCAGCCAAGAACATAGCAACCGGGCAGCAGGGATAAGACTCCACTCTCGCGCCCCGTCGCATGCAGATGATGCTGCAGGGCGCGGGCGGAGGGCGTGGCCGCCATGGTGCTGCTGGGCCACCTGGGCAATCTGCGGCGGGGCGTGGAGGCGGTGGGTGGCCCTGCGGGTGGGTGGGGTGGGGGTGGAGTGTGGGGCAGGGGACAGAGCAGGAGCAGAGGCGGGGGCGGGAGGGGGGTGGGGAGGTTTTTGGGCACTTGGTTTCTAAAAGGTTCGCCATCACTGCCTTCATCAGTTAATATGTGCCAAGCTCTAATCAAAACTCTGAAAATGTTCTCCATTTTCTCCCCACCTTGCTTAAGACCTTCACCCAACTCTGCCAACACGTCAACCTTATCACTGAGTCTTTACCTTGGATTCTAAGTCCACTAGACTGACAGCTTTGTCATCCACATGAAGAATCATATCTTGTGTCCAGACCTTGCCCTTTGCATCCAGGAGTTTCAGCTTCCTTATTCCATCATCAACTGTGATCATGGCTTCTTTCCGATCCAGAATAAAAGTGGTCAGGTGCTGAAAAGGTTGGCAAAAGAAAAGAAGATGTATGTTTACCAAAGGATCAGCAGAGCAGGTACTTATACAATTTGGAGAGATTATTTTTGAAAAAGCAAAACACGTTGCTTGCAAAATAAAATGGAGAGAATAGAAAAACCAACCATATCTAGCTATGGACATTTGAGGTACATAAATAAAATAAGATAAAATAATAAAAGAAATCTTACCTCCACATGGTATTGTGTTATCTCTGAAATGCTGCTGATGCTGTCTCGTGCATAATTCTTCCTTTGCTCTGATTTTTATCAAGAACAGAAAAAGAAGATATTAGAATAGTTAATTTATTTAAAAATATTGATGGGTGGGGATCTGTACTGGTACCGGTTGCTTATCCCTGAATTAAGATTATAAGATAATAAATATCACTCAATAGGCTTGTAATCTATTGTAACTGATTCAAATTTAAACCTCAGACAATGGACTGATTCACCAGCCATGAGTTTGGTTTTGGCTTAGTATGTTAAGTAAAATCAGCCATGATGACAATCACTTGTCTGAGATGGTATAGGTTCTCCTGCTTAAGGGAGGGGGGGCTGGACTAGAAGACTTCCAAGGTCCCTTCTATTCTATTCTATTCTATTCTATTCTATTCTATTCTATTCTATTCTATTCTATTCTATTCCAGTCCAGTCCAGTCCAGTCCAGTCCAGTCCATTCCATTATGTGTTGATTTCAACTCCCAGCATTCTCCAACTAGTATAGGAATTCTGAGTTTTGGGAGTTGAAGTCCACGTATCTTAGAGTTGCCATGGTTGAGACTTGTAAACTATTCAGAACTTAGCATAATGGCTAAAGTTAAACCCAACAAATTGGGGCTTATTCAAAAACTCATAATTAAGTAAGCCACAGCTTAGCCAGGTGTGTGAACTAGATCACTGTGGTTATCTATCGAACTTCCTGATTGACTTAAGATGGTAAACCAAATTTCTGGCTACACTCCACAGATGGTCTGCATATCTGAGTTTGCTTGGTATCGGCAAAGTTGGAACTGTCCATTGTGGCAGGCAACCAGTTACATTCATGATGAAGTTCTTTTCCTTTAAATTTCCTCCATGCTATTACAATATTCCCAATACAGGTAGTCCTCGACTTACTATCATTCATTTAGTGCCCCTTCAAAGTTACAACAGCGCTGAAAAACAAATGACTGGTGAACAGTTTTCACATGACCAGTGTGGCATCCCCCATGATCAAAATTTGAGCACTTGGCAACTGGCATGTATTTATGACGGTTGCACTGTCCCTGGATCATGTGATCACCATTTGTAAGCTTCCCAGCTGGCTTCTGACAAGCCAAGTCAATGGGAGAAGCCAGATTCATTGAATGACCACCTGCTTCACTTAATGACTGCATGGATTTGCTTAACAAATGGGAGCAACTAATTTAACAACTGCCTCGCTTAGCAACAGAAATTTTGGGTTCAACTGTGGTCTTAGGTCGAGATCTACTTGAAATAGTTTTCTGAAGTGGACACTGATAATTAAAATCCGCCTGCTAACTTTTTCACCAGATTCCAGAGTAGATTTCATCTGGTTTCCAGGCACCTGCCTTATGAAAACAACTTATAATGATATCTGCTTTGCTTTAGCAGTAACATCACACCACGCTCCTTCAGAAAGTCCCTGGACTGCTTCATATACAGGAGCTGTAAACTGATTTAAAGGGCCAATTTACCAGGTATCCTCTTGCCCCTTAATCAAAAGCCACCAGCTCTCCAAATTCAGAGATGGGTAACTCAGCCTCCCAAGATGCCTAGATGTGAATTCATCACTGCCTTTACATCTATATAAATAAAAATGTAAATGTCCGTTTGTTCAAAATCTTAAATCTCCGAAGGTTCTTCACCAATTGCTTTGAAATTTTGACACAACGTTGCATTCGAATACGCGTGTGTTTTTATATACCTATATTATATAGATGTCACACCTGTGACAGGTAAAAACATGCTTTTTTTAAAAAACCAGCGCCATCTGTTGGACGTAAAAGCAACACACGCTACGATTTTACGATTCCATTTCAATGTTTCCGATTTACGATCCATTTACGATTTCCAAATTTCCAATTTTACGATTCTATTTCAATGTTTTCGATTGCATTGTTAAATTGAATTTTCATAGATTTCGACTTATTTTCATTTTGATTTAATTATTTCGTGTGATATTGCGTTGGAATTGATGCACAGACAATGGAACAACAAAAAATATTGTATACCCACAAGTATTGTGAAATTAAACATATTAGAAACGTGCGCTTTCTCTTTTCTTTCTTTTCCATTTAACCAGACTGAGCCACAGCAACGCGTGGCCGGGTACAGCTAGTAAACAATGAAAATAGCAGTCTTCGCACACATAGAACATAACTTGAGAAGAAACACTCCATTTGGGAGGGAAAAGGCAGAAGCAAATGACACCGCAAGCCAATCACTTTTACCATTTTATCTGAAATCACAAACCTAACCCTAATCCTGAATTAACAAAGCACAATTGCTGGGCCTGCATAATATACTATGCCCAAACAAATACATGTAAAGCATATATCACTGCTTAATAGAAATGCCCGATTCACACAATCTGCCATTAGCATTTCTCATAACATACTGAATCACAAACCATCATGCCTCATTTTAAATTAGGGTGTGATGAGAAGTCAGCCTTAACATTAAGGGCAAGGTTGCAAATTGAAAAGTTTAATATCATAATATATATTCTTTTTTGCTTCCTTACGGTGGGAAAAAATATTTTAAGTGGGAGACTAGAACTGCAGTATAGCAGTCAAAAAAATGCCAAGGTGCAATCAATCAGACTGGTCTGTCTGAAAAACTTTCTGTATATACTCCCTTGACTCGGCTGACAAAGAGGAGAGGAGAGCCGGTGACCTGGTGGTTAATACAACTGCCTAGCATGTAGGCTGCCTAGGTTCGAATCCCATAAAGGGTGTGGCTAGCTGATGAGGGCTAATGAGCCTGAAATAGCTATACTAGTCTCCCACTTAATTTTCTAACTCTTTGTCAGCAAAAAGAAATCTGAATTTGTAATGTATCACAGTAGTGACACTGATTTATGAAGTATATATTCATTGTCTGCATGTGTATATGTGTGTATATGTATATATGTGTGTGTATTTCGCAGAGCTCAGACCTTGAACAAGCTTAGCATCTTTAACTGAGCCATCACGCCCCTATATATGGAGTATATGAGTGTGTGTGTATTATATACATGAACACACAGTATGTATGTGTTTGTGTATGCATAAATGCTCCTATATAAACCTTCAGTGAACTCTAGCCATATTTCATTACATGATCCATGCCTACTCAAAGTTAATAAATGATTCTTTCACCAATTGCTATAGCATCAATTTTGCAGGCCTTAACCCTAACTCTTACTTTGTTATTTCTGATCCATTAGTTCATTTATTAAATTTATCACATCTTTTCACCTCAGCAATCATAGCAATTAATAATAAAAACAGGCCAATAGTGGAGGATAAGTTCACGCAGACAAAAGACAGGGTTTTCCTAGATATTTTCAAATTAAATTTGCCATAATTGAAATGGAGAGTACTAAACAATACTCTGAGAAACAATGGGTGACGACAGAGGAAATAGTGTCCTAGTTTCCTTTCAATATATTAAAAGGCAACGACAAGAACCCATCAACAATTCCGTTGACATGTGAATTTTACCATGTCCAACATTTTTTAAATCTTAATTTTCCTCCTATATGAATAATATAACTTAAGTACATCTTTCCAGGAAATAGGTACTTATTTTTTAAGAAACAGCCTAGTGAAAATAATTTCCGTCACAAAAACTGAATATAGATAGCATTTAAATGTCCATTACTAAAGATGGTATAATCATTTTCTAAAAATGACTTCCTTTCTGTCTTGGGGAGTAGATGTAACCAGGCAGCCATCAGTTAGTGACAGTGAGATATAGGTAGTCCTCAACTTACAACCATTAGTTTAGCTACCATTCAAAGATACAACCATATTGAAAAAAGTGATTTACAATCATTGTACCATCCTCACAGTGACCTGATCAAAATTCAGTTGATTGCCATTTGCGGCCTTCCCAGCTCACTAATCAAAAAAGAAAAGTCAATGAGAGCAGGCAGATTCACTTAACAACATCCTGGGTTGTTTAACAACTGCCTTGCCTAGCAATGGAAATTCTGATATATATGCTTTCCAGTCACATGCGACCTGAATATTGTGCTCTTTAGTTCATTCTATCAGAAATATTTTTACAGCATTTTTTTTAGCTCAGTTCTTAAGGGGTGCTATGTTGCTACCTTCCCCTCATCTTCAGTTAGGCATTGAGATATAGCCACTTATCCCAAGTGCCAAAGAATGCCCATATGTGATGGTATTCGCATTTTCTAAATGTAAGATGGCCATAACCTCTTCATATTTTATGAGCTTCTAGATTTTTTTCATAATTTACTGTCCTAGATTTGTTTAGCTATAATTCTCTTCTCTATAATGCTCTTCTCCAAGTATAGTATGGCAATAGCCCCCAATCTTTTGGGCACCAGGGTCCAGTTCCGTGGAGGGAGGTTTTTCCAAGGCCTGTGTGTGTTTGTGTGGTTTTGTACACTGCCTGGATCTTGTGCATGCACCGATGGGGCTTCGCTTGCTTGCTTTGCTCAGTTCCGGGCAGGCCAAGGACCGTTGCTGGTCTGTGGCCCTGGGGTTGGGGACCTCTGTAACATGGGATGTGATAGCAATTTATATTCAGAAGATCACAGCATCTGATCTGGACAGAACATCCTTGGTTATTATTTTCTGAAAAGTATGGCATGCAAAGGACTTAACATACCCTCCCCCTACCTACTCACTGATACTTTACAAGAGCTTCACTATCAACATCCTTTCCTGTCTCACAGATATATTTTGGAAGCACAGACTTGCCCCACTGGAAAGTACCTCAGTCATTTTTGTGTCCAACAATCCATTACTAAACATTAGAAGCATTTGACTGTGTCAACATATTGATATATTTTCATTTGCGCAGCCTTTTTTTTCACCCTAAAAGATCCGTAATGAAAATGTGCATGCATACACGCTCGTGCGCGCATGCACACACGTACATACACAACCAGAACAGCAAAAGCCTGTTGTCATCTGCTACCTTTTTGGGTTTTTTGCTTGGATGACGATCTGAAGAAATAAAACCCATCTGCTCCAGAGAATTATTATTTTTCAAAAGAAAAGAAAAGAAGTAACATTTAGATCAATCCTACACCCAGTGATTACTTCCATTTGGGAAGATGTCAAGGCAATAGTGTTGACATATAGACTTGCAATGAAAAATTGGCTGTCACACAGAGTACTAAAGAACAAAGAAAAGAGAAGAAATAAAGAAAAGAAAGCAGAGCTTTATTAAATGCAACATTCAGACACAGGCTTTTGATAAGGATCAGTTTGCAGATCAAATAGAAATCAACCTATGTTTGCTAAAAACTGTGCAGTCAACAAAACCGGGGCCCCATAACTGATTTGACGTTTCCTGCCTTTTACGAGTCATTACATTTTTATCTGTCCTTTACAAAAGTGTTGCTTATTTTGAAAGGGAATAGCCTATCTATATACATAATTTTCTTGTCTGTGTTGATCTTGAACAGCAGATTCGATCCACCCTACAACTAGAAGATTTTTATCCTCCTTAAAACCCTACAGATGCCCCCCTTGATAGCTGCCTATAATCCATTTGCTCAGCTACTAGCAAGACTGCTCAGCAGTTTCCTATCAATGTACACAAGATCCCCAATTTAGTTCTTCTGTTTCATTTTGTCTAGATTTCTGACGGTTGGGAAATAAAAGGCAACCTTTGAACTTTCATCTATATGCACGTAAGGATCTAACATCAAATCAAGAGAAAAAGGGGCAAAGTTATGTGCGTATAAGAAGTCTTCCAGGATCAATTTAGGCCTGGTTGTTACTTACAAAGCCCTATATAGTCTAGCATCAGGGTAAATCAAGTACTCTCTAGCCAAAATTAAATTCATCTGTCTAGTCTCATTCATCTTCAGAAGATCTGCTGAGAATTATCTCCCCATCCAAGAAGTATATGAGGTATAGGCTAGATGATAGATACTGTTGTGGGCCTAATGTACCTTTAGCTCTAATTAATTGTTGGATGGACACTCATCCTGTGAATGGGAGGAAGAAGGAGGTAGATTAAGCTTCCTCTTGCCGCTATGTATTCAAGATGAACAATGATTAATATGTAAATGTATTTATATGTAAAGGTGTAGGTATGTATGTATATAGCATGTCTATATATGTGTTATGTATGTGTACATTTTTGAAAGCAGGCAACAGAATTTCATTTTTAATGTGTGCCAGTGTGGCCACAGTACATGACAATAAAAGTTGTCTTGTCTTGTCTTGTCTTGTCTTGTCTTGTCCTGTCCTGTCCTGTCCTGTCCTGTCCTTTCTGTATGCTTTGTATATTTGCTATACAGGTAGTCCTCAATTTACAACCACAATTGGGAACAGAATTTCCATTGCTAAGAAAGGTGGTGATTAAGAGTGCCACTCATGATTTTACAATCTGTTTTGCCATGGTTGTTAAGCGAATCACTGCAGTTGTTAAATGAATCTTGCCATCGTTAAGAGAATCTAGCTTTCTCCAATGGTTTTGCTTGTTGGGAAGGTCACCAATGATAAACATATTGTATTGGCTGTCATAAATACATGTGGTTGCCAAGTGCCCAAATTTTGAACATGGGACCATGGGAACAGTTGTAAGTGTGAGGACTGGTCGTAAGTCACTTTTTTCAATGCCGTTGTAACTTCAAACAATAGTAAATGAATGATTGTAAGTTGTGGACTACCTGTAGACAGTGCAGGATCTTTAGAATGGCGTGGGTTAAATAGATAAATGAATAGCAACTTAATTTCTAGGTCACACACGCACAGATGCTACAGAATACAGTGGCTGATGGCTCTAAATCATTTCTCCATTAAGTTCAGCCCACCTAGCTTAATTAAGACTTTGCATTCATGATCCAATTATAAGCTCAGCGTCAACTAGTGAATCTTACCATACAAAGCTTTTGCACTTGTCTTTGAACTCTGATCCTTGTCCCTTGAAGAAAAGGTCGGCGATCCATATCCACTGCAAGGCAAGAAACAGGTTGCTTAGGTGCTCTTTTTTCCAGAAAAGTCAATCAATATACAATCAAGCTTAAATTGAAAGACTAACTGCACAGAGTACAGAATTCAGGAATATAAAGATTTTGGCTTTCCCGTTTCCAGTTCATGCGGATCAGCTTAGTACAGGGGTGTTAAACTCAATTTCATTGAGGGCCGCATCAGCATTGCGGTTGCCCTCGGGGGGGCCGGGGTGTGTGTGGCCAGGGTGGGTGCAGCCTACTAGGTGGGCGTGGATGGAGTGGGTGTGGCCTATTGGGTGGACATGGCCAGCTCTACATCATTCGCGTCAAAGGTGCCTGTGGGGGCCTGGGCAGGAGTGGGACAGATCTGAATGCGTTTCAGCATAGATGGCCACCATAAAATTGTACATTGGCTCCTGGCCGGCCTGGGCCAGGGCCAAGGCAGCGGGGGCCGTTCCCTCACTGTTTCCAGGATGGCTTCGCGGGCCACATGAAACCACTTCGCGGGCCGCATCCGGCCCCCAGGCCTTGTGTTTGACATGTCTGGCTTAGTAAGTGTGAAGGAATCTACACAAACTGGTTGCTGAGCAGAAATTGGAGGGCCAGCCGAACCGAATCCGATCGAGCACAGGTAAGGATACATCTTAGATCCTACCTTGTGGCGATGAGGAAGGCTAGGACTAACTACTATGCCTCACTCATTGCGTCATCAGATAATCGCCCGGCCGCCCTCTTCAGGGTGACCCGCTCTCTCCTTCAATTGGAGGGGGGGGACCCCCTGGAGGGGAGGGCA